CAGTATATAATACCCAATGGACAGACCACAGATTTGTAAAAGCAGCATGAAAACTTGAACTATGATTTTCTTCCCCTTTCCCCCTTCAGATGATTATTGAGCAGTTGGAGCATGACAGGAATTTGATGGCTGACACTATTGCAGAAAAGATGCGAGACCACCAGAACCTTCTGCAGGTCAGGATGGACCTGGGCATGGAGGTGGCTTCCTACAGGTAATACGCTCATGTGTTTTGTCTTATTTTTTACATTTGTATTTGTTATAGTAGGGAAAATTGTTAGGGCTGCTGAGATTGAACAATTAGTCATCAAAATAAATCTCAAACTATGTAAATAATTCATTAGTAGGTTTTAGTTTATGTTAAGAAAGGAAAATTCCAACATCTCTGATTTCAGCTTTTAAGATGTAAATATTGTCTGGTTTCTTTAATCCCAAAACATAATTAAAAAAAAACAATCAATCAATTGAAACAATTATATTTTGTTGTGTTTCTTGTATATATTTGCACATATATTCATTATTCATTTATTGTCATATATTCATCCGTTTTTGTCTACCAGACTGCTATTTTTATATAATTATTGTTTTGCCTTTTTTAAATATGTTTTAAATATTTTTCGTATGCATACACATTATATGTATATATTTTTTATATATTTTAATCTTTGGGATGGTGGGAAACGACACTTCGGTCTCCCTGTTTGTACGACACACTCAGAGATATTGAAGTTGACCTTGACAATAGCATTGACTGCATTCTGTTCAAGGGTCACAGTAAATAGGGACAGTGTGACAGGACCCTAAAACTCAAGCTGCTAAATGGAATTCAGCCCTCTTTATTTGTATTATTTATACAAGTGCTTTATTATAGATTCTGGAAATTAAATGTACTTTAAAGTGTGAGTATGAAAACCAAGCAAGCCCCCTCAGAAATGTTTTGTTTCAGTAGTTTTCTTTTTCCTTTTGTAAATTAAGAAATAACTAGTATATGAATAGTTACATCCTCCTTTTTAGTGATATTTCCATGCTTTTAAGAAGAGATTACTTAGTTTGACCAGCTGCCACTACTTGAAGTCAATCTTAGCTTAATTAGTGATTTCATTAAACACAAATAGAAAACGGCTGCCTGCGTCCGGCTGACCTTGGCACTAAGTAATCTGAACTTTACTTAGATAAACTGTAGTAGCTCTGACATTTTACAAATAGTTCCATGAGCTAACCATACAATTAATAAGTTGTTAAAAATGTCTCTCGTTTAAGTTTTAAAGTGGACCTATCATGCTATATTTGAATAATATATTGTAGGGCCATACCTATATAAGGTATATTTATACGTTTTATTTTTCAAAATACCAAACAGGCATTTTAGCCATGCCTCATTTCGCTCTATTTTGCTCTCCTCCACCCTGTCACGGCAACCTCTCATTCCCCTGATAGGTCAGCTCCTCCGTCCTGACGTCAGAGAAATGTTCAAATCTGGATCAGTCTGTATCAGATCTGTTGCAGCCCCGTTTTTAGAGATTTGGGTATGGAGGAAAAGAGAGAGGGTTGTGTTTTCTGACACTTGGTGAGTTCCCTGGAACACCGGGGACACATATTCATGTATAAAAGATGTACAAAAGTGCATTTTGCATGATAGGTCCCGTTTAAGTGTTTATTATGGGTTATTTATATCTGGCATTTTAAATCCTGTCTAGCCTTCTACTCCTAACACAGCCCAGTCACAGCGGGTCACATACTAACAGACAATTTTTACTTAAAGTTATTTATAAACAGTTTAAGCACCATAATGTAACATTCAGTAATTATGTAATTTAGCGCCCCTACAGTTTTAGAGTGCAATGTATTTATACACCGCTGTCGTTGTCCATTCACCCGCTACGGTTCTCGTATGTCACTGGCGCCAACTACTCCCCCATTCACACACAAATACATCATGACCTCTTACCTGATATTGTAAGACATCTTTACACGTTTGAATCCTTTTTCAGGAAACTACAATGCTAACAGTATTGAGCCATTCCCCACGTAGTGCTTAGGACTATCTGCTCCACTCTGTCTCTTTGTGGCAGACGATATGCAGGCAAACATGGTTTGTTATGAATTTTTGGAATAGACAGAATGTTTTCTCAGAGACGAGGCAGCGGTATGTGTTTTTGTGTGTGTCACAATTCGATTCGTGGGGAAGTGTGGACAGCCCCCGTTGTACTGTTATTTTTAGGTCAGTCTTTCGGAAGGTGGTCTCCGGAGAGGTTGTTCCTTTTCAAGGCACGTTGGTTTGCTGTTTTACATTTTTTTGAGGCATAGCCAAGGATAGGTAAGCTGCTAAAGCTAATTATTACAAGGTCTTTATCACATGACATTGGCTCTTTATGATTTTGATGATTACCACCCTATATGGCCAGGTCCTGGGTACTGTCTTGTAAGCCTGTTGCGTTTAGTTTGAGGGGGCTGAGATGGCAGATCTGAATGATGTACACCGTCTCGTGAGGTATTTGTCTTTGATCTTTTAAATACTATATTGGGTAAAAAATGTTGAATAGGAGGATAACCAGAGATACTGTATATAATGTCTTATTTACCCTCGTCTTTAAATATGTTTATTTTATTGTTTGTTCAGGGCTCTCCTGGAAGGTGAGAGAATGGATCTGCAAGACACTCATAGGAGGGTGACTCAACAGCAGCGAGAAAGAATAATAGGTAACGTATTTATTGTTGTTACATGTTGCTCACTTAACCTTATTGTCTAGAAATAGTTTGACATTTTAGCAATATACTCTTGCTAATAATTACATGAGAAGATCAATACCACTCTCACATGAGATTGGTTTGGATCTTCTTATCTCTTACCAAGAAAGCAAATAAGCGTATTTCCTAAATTGTCAAAGTATTCCTTTAAGTATCTACCTAAATATTCATTCATTTTCTGTCTCAGATATAAGGATGCCTGCCCAGCCCTACACTCAAAGAGCTTCCACCTCAACCAGCAGACAACATATAAATACCAGGTACACACCGCCAACTTCAAACCTGACAAGATCTCCTCTGCCTTCCTCTGGATCCACGAGTCCCTCCAGGGTCATTCCTATTTCAGTTGCAGCCAGAGCTCGGCATCAGAGTCCTGCATCTAGAAGGGACATGATCTCATTCACCAAATCTCGGGCTTCCACCCCTGCGACCACGACCACCTCTGTCACCAAAGATAAACCGACAAGCCAGAGTGAATACCAAATTAAACGACATGTCCAGAAAACAGAAGCAGAGGAAAACACTGATAAAATCAAAAAGATAGAGGATCAAGCCAGTCACAAGACTTCCTCTTCTACTGATACCAGATCAGTGAGAGTGGTGTCCCCGCAAATGATGAGCCTGAGCAAGACAACTGAGGCAGAAACCAAAAAGCAAGTGTCAGATGAAAAAGAGAAAGATGATGTGAATGAAGGGTATTTCAAAGACGAATGGAAAACAGTGTCTACAATTGTCCCTAGTGTGAGAAAGATTTTCAATTCTGTGTCTGTAGAGGAGATTATTGAGAAGGCGATGAGACCAGAAGGTTTGGAAGCTAGGGTTAGCTCCCCTGGAGAATCCAAGGTAAGGTACCATGTGGAGAAAACTGAGCAGGAAGATGGAACAACTAAGACACAGATTGTGTTGGAGTCCAAAATGGAAGAAGAGCTTGATTTGTCCGAGGACTCTGTACTGGAGGATTTACTGAGCCAAGGGGTTATGAAGGTGTCACTGGAAGATATCAAGGACACAGCAACAGGAAGCATGATCCAGAACTTGCTAAGTGGCCTGCAGGCAAGTGGAAACTTGGAAAATAAGTCTGTCAATGTGGAAATCATTGAGGAACCGGTGGAGTCTTACAATGATGAGGATCTTGAGTTTGAGTCGAGATCTACTTTTTATGAGCCCTCCTCAACATATTTTCAAATTGAAGAGCTAGAAAATATCCCTCATGAGGCTCAAGTTCAGAGAAGTGACCGTGAGGAGGTGACAGATCACTTCAAAGGTGGATTCGATGTCCGGGAGGTTTCTAGACAGAGTGAATCTTCATATTTCTCCCATGAAGAGCCAGATGAGTACTTTGTCTCCACACCAGATGATAATCTTTCTGAAATCGACGACGGTGGTGGCATCACCTCATATGGACATTATGGTATGGTAGATGACCTGTCAGATGAGAGGTATTATCAGGACGAAGGTCTTCCATCCAAAAGAGTGATTGTAGAGGAAAGTGACGAATACAAGTTCATGTCAGATGATCACTCATTTGTCAAGGATAGTTTTCCAGAGTGCATCATTGAAGAGGAGGTTTGCGTCTCCCCTGTAGTGCAGGAGTCAATGTTGGAGTTCCTGAGGGAGGACTCTTTGGAGCCCAGAGAGCAGCTAAAGGGAGCTCTGGAGAAGCTACAAAGCTCAGTGTCAGGTCCGCTGAAGGAGGAGTTGGCTTTCCTCTCAAAAGTGAATAGCGATGGTTCACAGAATGTGGAAGTCAAAAAGGTCACACAGTCAAGTGACAACGGCAACATGACTATAGTTGCAGAGCTCAACGTCTCGCAAAGTCTGGAAGACTCTGGGCTGCTGGAGGCAGAAGGTGATATGTCTGAAGAGCAGATCATGGCAGTGCTCAGATCTTCTAACCCGGGACTTGAGAAAGCCTTCCAGGGGGGGGCAAGAGGGGGATACAGCTTTAGAGTCTCCAAAGAAGAGGATGTTGTGACTGGTGAAGAGTTTGAAGGCTTTACTAGCGAAGGAGGCTTTTCATCTGAAGTCACTGAGAAACACATCAAACTGGGCCCATCAGAAAAGTCCTTCACCTTCCAGATGGACGTAGAGGGCAGCCATGCTGAGGCCACCTCAGAGCAGGAGCTGCTCTCTCAGGCCGTGCACAGCCCGGTGAAGATCTCTCATCAGAAAAGAGTTGCAACTGTCTACCTTGAAAGCCCGACAGATGATTAACAAACTAAGTGCTTACCAATGCTACTATTTAAAGTGCAGCGGTTGTTTTAACACAGCAGTCCACACACATAGCATTAATGCAGACACTATAATAATGATCTAAGGCTTTGCAGTTAAACATATATCCGATTGATTTTGGTGAGCTCTTATACTGATTAATTTCAATTATTTAGTAACAATGGCCGGACTTACACATGTTTTTATGGTAATACATTTTGCAATATTACTATAAAAAAACAGCATGGGGACTTAAATGGGCTGGTTTACGTTTGTTATAACATTCAACCATGCTGTTAAATACTGATCCTCTTCCGCATTGATATTTGTTAACAGTTAATACAGAATGCCGTTTATTATCAAAGATGTTCATTTATTCTCTCTAGATTTCTATATTTTTGTACTGACCCTTGCTGCACATCTTAAACTGCCCATTCTGCAGTTTACAACTCCCCACATCAAGCCAACAAAATGTTGGAGTTCTGAGTTGCTGTGAACTGTTTGCTGATTGAAGCTTTAATTCTTTTCTTTTTTACTTTGGCTCGGCTGCCAAATAAAATGGTTTTAGTATACTGCATCCTGGAACACAGTCGTTTGTTTTGAAGCAGTGGTCAGTGACGTGTACAGCATATAGTGAATGGTATATAGTGTTGAAAAAAAGAGGGTAACTTGTCTTAAGAAACTTTGCAAGTCTGAAAGCTGCGATTGAAGTGTGTTGTATGTAAATGTGACACTTAAAAGTGTCTTTGAATTAAATAACTCAGTTATTTTAAGAAGATTTAGCTTTACTCACAACTAATGGCAAATGTTGACTAATTAGAAAAAAAATGTTGCCTAATATACAACCAAAGCCTAGTTACATTATCAATGTAATCTTTGTGGAATGGGTTTGTGAAATGTGTCTTTACATGGTGTGTGTCAGTATCTTACATTACAACAGCAAACATGTAGTTAGGGAGCTGGGAACTTATAATGGCAAATCATACCATTTAGATTAGAACACTAAAATAGGGTTGTCAATTTTAGAAGGAAATACTAAGATGAAAGGACGGAGTAAAAGAAATGTAATTAATTCAAAGGAAACAGTGATAGTGTTGAACCTATAATCACATGTAGTTTGATGTACAGTATGTCTTGTCTGGACGCCTTTTGGCTCGTAAGCATTCGTTGGCGTCACAGTGTTGACAGGAAGGATTCACCTTTGCTCGTGCATACGTGTGTCCATGACCGTGAGTGACTATTTTTGGATCAGCAGCTTAGCGGCATTGACTGCTCATTAGATTTTGTTGTGCTGCGTACTAGTTGCAGAGGCAGAAATGGTCCACTATGATTACAGTTTAGTCGTGCACATTTGTCTAAGTGTCTGCAAAATGTACACTTTGTAACTATTTAGTAATTTCTTCACAGATTGGCTTCTTGGCACTATCATGTTAAAGAAATGTGCAAAAACACAAAGTTAAGCATGAATGCTTAATAATTAGAAATACTGTACTAAATACTATGAAACTTCAATTAAAAAGACTTGCATTTAAGTGCCCAGAGACAGCATATTTCCATACATTTTGCAAACTGCAGTAATTGAAATAAAATATGTACATCAGTGCACTTAACTTGTGGCTTGATTAGGAATATTTGCAAGGTTACTGTGCATCTATGTACAAAGTGTAATCTGGATAATGTGCCATTTCTTTGTATTAAAATGTTTTACATCAGCATACAGAACATGTATTGATATATAAAGAATGTTTAATGAGTCAAATGTTCAATATATGTTAGTCAAACATCATTGCTTTTATTGACATAATGATTTATATTTAACAATTGGCATTATTGCTTATTGGTGAAAAAGGTTGCAGCCCTTATTTGGAAATTGATTAACACAATTAAAATCTATTGTGAGTATGATTTCTGAGTGTGGGTATTTCTTCAAAGCTTACTTATATCACCAATGTTACTCAATATCACGTTATTCCAGTAGATATATCAAGTCACTAAAGCTCATTTTCAACATTGGTAGCTGCCTGTGTTATTATATACAGTAAAAGCAAGACAAACTTTTTAAATACAAATATCAGTAGACAAATATCCGTTCCAAACCTGCATTGTTCTGACAAAATAATCAACTATTTACATTTTAGGAGTCAGACATTGAGTGTCCATCATTGCCAGCGGATGGTGCAACTGACTGTGTCTGATTTGTTTTCCTTCTACCTCGCCTCTTCTGTCTCTCAGCCACCTCTGGGGCCCTGCAGAACATACATCAACATACTGAAACATGTGTCTGTTATTTCAATGCATTCCTCTAACCTACTGTAAAAGCATTCTCTTATTGTAAAATCAGTTAATAGGAAATGTATCACATGATTTAAACTCTAAATATTTCAGAAGATTTACCGGGCCAGCATGTCCACAGCTTTTTGTGTAGCTTTTGTCTTCTTGTGCTGAGAACCGTACAACAAACTCTGGATCTCCAGGCACTGAAATTTGAAATAAAAACAGTTACGACAGCAGATTAAGTGCTCAGTGGAAGTTCAGAAGTGAAACTCATACTTGAAGGGACTTAACACTTCCTTCCTAGCAACATTTAAATACACCAAACACCCCAAAATAACTACTGTTGCAGCCAAAGGTTTAGATAACACCTGTGCTGACACTCAACATGAGGGGGATCTGATAGATTTAGGAATCACCAACCCATGAACCTGAGGAAATTAACTCAACAACTTTAAGACTCACTATAAATCATTTTCCTCCTACTTTCTTCTGATCCAATCAAATACGAGGAAACTCAAGAACTTCTAATCTCTATGACATCAGAAAATATTGCGTTATTTAACAGAACTCAGAAAAGTTAATCACGAACACAGGCATTTAATAACATTGCGCTCAAATAATTGTGCAATGGACTTTAAAAAAGCCTGCTTGTCATTTCGCCATTTACCATAAATAACAAGATGTGAAGACAGTTTTATTAAAAATATGGAAAGAGAAAAGTTTCTCTCTTCACCAGGCAAAGTGAAAACACTCAGTAACCTGGAACAGATCCATTTGGCCTCCTGAATGTTTTTGCTGTTGCTAAGGTTGATGTAATGGAAGGTCTTTTTTTCTCCAAAGCACTACAGTTGAAGGGGAATATGTGAAGTGCGTGTCTGTGTGTGTGTGTGCCATTGTTCGCTGTGTTTTTTTAGTTGATCATATGTTCTGTATTTGCTGTACGAGCCAGGTTTCCTTTGGAAAAACAAAGTTTCTTAATCAGAGTGCAGATGGTTTCATGTTGACATATCTGCTCTGCGTCATGGTGCTTCAGAAAGGTTAGCAACATGGTGGGGTGTAGAGAGAGTCCTGATATACCCTGTCCAAGACCCCCCTGCACTGTCGTCTTAGATGTCAAAACAAAACAACATAGCAACCAGGCCCCTTTTACTTAGAGGCATGTTGTTACTAGTATCAAGAAACCCCCATTTACTGGTGTATTTTAGTATATTTGATGAGCGGCAGAACTGAGCTCATATGGAAAACATGTGCAGTGCTACAGTATGTGAAAAACAAAAAACACATTACATAAGGAATAAAGTAACAGAGGAGATACATGGTGAAAGGCTGCTGTGTTTTCAGTGCATGTGTGTTGAAATACATAGGAATGTCACTTTTGTTTCAAAGGACATAATGCCATGCCCTCACTAATTGGGGTCAGTGTCCCTTTAATTGACAGCAGTTAGCAAACAGCCAAAAGTTGTGTTGCCCATCTGTCCGTCTCTATCCAGACCGAGGAAACACAAAGTCCCTGTGTGTGATATTTTACACCAGAGACAGCAGCTCTGCACACTGCACTCTTCCAAGATTAGAACACCACTGATAGCACTGAGCTTCAGGGAGGACGTTAGAAATAGCTCATTTCAATATGACCGGGACTCTTTGTGAGTATATTTTGAACTGGCCTCTCACTGGTTTAGATGGACACACCTGCTGGGACAATGTCATGTTACCCCATGCAGTATTTATAATATGCACTTACAGGTTGTATCCAAGGCTAACATTAGTTTTTATGTTATGTAATTTGATATTACCTTTGTCATGGTCCTATGGGCCTGCTTCACCCTGCCCTCACTCATCTCCACACTTCCTATCAGCTGAAGGGTGTCTGCTACCTCAGCACTCAGATCACCAAAAGTAGATCTCTTTGTCGCAAGAGAAGCTCTCTGGATCTCCACACATCTCTGAAATGGTACATTGAAAATAGGTTAATCATCACTTTCCGGGTTAGCAGGTGGAATACATACCCTGACCTTAATACACTTTCCATTGTGTGGCTCTTTAAACATAGAGGTGTAATTGTAAGTGTGTGTATGATTGTGTGTAACCTCTTGCTGGTCACTGAGGAGGAGGAAACGACAGAAATCATCCTGGGCCGTGAGAAAGGCAGGATCCTGAGGGCCTGCACAGTGTTTGTACGCACTTAGACTCTGCTCAAAGTAGAGACCTGCAGAGTCTGAAACATCATAGGGAAGAACATGCAAAGTATGCAGGTTAACTTCAATGGTAGCAATATTTGAGAGAATAAATGAAAATATAATACTGCCATAGAATCCATGCAACAGGATTTTTTTTTAAATAGATTTTGTTACTTTTGAGATGCTTCACATTGCTACCATTAGCCAAGAAACAGTTGAAATGGGTAAATCATAATGACTTGAATGAACCTGGGTATGTGTTAAATGAGGCTATTATAAGTCGGGTTTCCTTAACATCAGCTTAAAGAATGTCACATAAGGGAAGACTAATTAACCCCTTGTTGCATATTGCCCAGGCCTACTGTTGAGCATAAACTCACCATTGTGACGGGGCTCTGCTGCAGCAGAAAGGAGGAGAGCCAGGCTGTGGCAGATCTGAGCCCCCTCCAGCTCCTCTGGGCTGTGACTCATAGCAATGGCATGAGCCTAGCAGAAACACCCACATGAAAAAAGATATCACATATCACCAAATAAGAGGTGTTGGAACATTACCTAACAACAAGAATTCTTCCTCTGTTTATATACATTGTGCTGTTTGAGTGATATGCCCCTTGCCTTGGAGAGATGCTCTATGGCTCGGTCCAAATGACCTTTGTCCTGTTCGATGGCAGCCATGTCCCTGTAGACGGAACATGTCTTCTCTGGCTTACCACAGTCCTTCAGCACTTGCAGAGACTTCTCACACTGCCTTAATGCATCCTCTGGTCTGTTCTGTCTCCTATAGACCCTATAGAGCAGAATGGACATACAAATGGAATGACTGTCAGATACTGAAAGACAAACACAATGACAGTGACCAGTTCAGCCCACTATAAAAGGCAGGAGGGCAGAGTTACGATAGATAAGGTACTCTTCAAGTAGTTAGACTGCATTCCTGTGTTTGAAAACACCTGCTCTGCCAAAGTGTACTTGACTGTTACACAGAAACATTACATATGCTATTTACAACACTCTGTATTTATTATTTAGTGTACAGTATATACCCACAAGCCTTTTACTTCATTATCCCAAGCCTGTTTTATATTATAACAAGTAACGGCTTGAGCTTCAGCCAAAACAGGGCTCTGCAGAGTGGTGAAGGCTTTTGGCTGATGGCTGCATTTGAAGCCTGTTGTACTGCAGACTATAAAAGGGAAAGCTTGCACATTGACCTTTTAATTGTATCCTTATATGTGTCTCTAACAGTCTCAACTAGTTCTTAACACCCTTACTTTACCTACATCTTCTCGGACTCTGACAAACAGCTCCTGCAGTGTTTAGAGTCTCAATGTCCAAATAAGGGGATGGGAACCACTAAAGCAAATCTGAAGATGAGAGCATGGTCCTTAATGGGACAACGGTTGCTCAGAGTTCTACATCTATAACAAGATCTGTTAGAACAACATGTTTTGAGTCTACAGAGTATCATGGTGAGAGAGGATGAGATGATGGCTGCAAGGACTCTGGATAGCATCAGGCTACTCTACTAACAGCTCAAACCATCTAATGGACTCTCACTCTGGATAGCATCAGGCTACTCTACTAACAGCTCAAACCATCTAATGGACTCTTAAATGTAATGTATCTCTCCAGTTGTGGGGGTGGTCTTTCTCAAAGGGCACACCACTCACTAAGTACAATCTCTAGCTACATTGTTGTCACACTGCAGAACAGGAAACCCCCTTCTCACAAATGTTTCTCCTGACATGCAAACTCCACTGAGTATAGTTGTATGTATTATCTGAATGGCTTATATGGGTTGCATGCAATTAGATTTAATTTTGTATCCAGCAGGCCCAGTACTGAGTGCATGCAGTATATTGAAGCTGGGCAGCCTACATGGGAACCTAAAGTCTAAGCTCGACCCTATGATGTCATGCTCACATCCCAAGCCCACATGAATCTGGGTATTCATGGGTAAATGTTTAAATGTCAGCAGCACAGGGTACACAAACACTGTGATGGCTCATTACTGAACATTTTCCATGAATCCATGATTATCCTAACATGCTATGATGGATGTCAGGACTCAGGAGTGCCCCACCTATATGTATTCATAGGGCAGTGCACTTGGGATCCTTTTTGGGCAGCACTGATGGCTGAATCGGAGCTGCATTAAACAATGGCTTCAGTCCTGCCATTCTGCCTGCATGGACAAACGGAGACAATCCCCCTCTATCCTCTCATTCACTTTGCATCCTTACGCATTTCCTGGCAGGAGGGGAATATGCCACATCCCACTGAAAATCTACTAAGAGTCAACAGGGCAGTGAATTCATATAATAGGGATTTGTACACGTGTTGCCAAGCTAGCCACACTGTTTTGTAAAAGTTTCCAGGACATAGTTGACGTAAGTTGCTCAGGGCTTTCACTGGGAAAAATCATACTGTAAGGCCAAGCCGAAGTAAAAAACAGAGAGACAGCTTGCTCCAAAAACAAATCTCTGTGGTATGCTGATGTGGTTAAAGGACTATAGAGAATATATGAAATAAAAAACTACCTGTTCAGTCTGGGGTAGTTACTGTCAATCACGCCATTTAAACCCCTGCTGGTTTTATTTCACCCACCTAATCAGAAACAATTGTAGAACTGAAGAAAAAAATACCTTTTTGGAAAGAATACAAGCAGATACTGGATCTCAAGCATAAGAATACCTCTGGAGTTTGGCTATTCTGTGTGTTAAAACCGTGTCTGTGAATCGTGGCAATGGCATACATTAACAGCAATGCAACAGCTTAAACAGAAACATTGGCACAAAGTTGGTTAACATAGAGTGTATTTCAATTTAAAGGATGTACGATAATTTAGGGTGGAGAGATTATTGGAAGATTTCCTTTATTTATCACTCTAAACATGTTTAATTCAATTAAAACTGTCAAGTGAGATGTAGATTTATGATAGCAGTTAGAAAGAGTTGAAGAGAATGACAACACAAAGAAACAAACACACAGACATACAAACACACACTCAACAGATCTAAACCTAACAATACATATTCCATCTGCAGCACCTTGAGTGTGAATCTAAAACTGAACTGGATGTTTGGACGAGGATCTATAGCAGAGTTGAGTTGGCTTTGGTAGGAACATTCCCCTCCATCACAACAGTGTTGACTGACGGAGCTTTAGACGCATGCCAAATTCTTAGTCATCCCCCAACAAAAGAGATTTAGCAAGCTTACACACCAGCCAGAGTTTGCACATTTTTTCAATTACACACATTATGTAAACAAACTATGACTCTCTGAAACAGAACAAGATGGCATAATTTACAAATTCCTATTTGTGTAGCTCACCTCAGCTGCTGATAGGGTTTGTTTACTCTAAATGCTACAGGAGTAATGCCCCAGTTTACCTAGCAACAGCATTTTCAAAACAATGGATCCTACTTACAAAGCTTACCTGTAAGATGGGGCCCCTGTATAAACACTGTCCTTACCACTGTTTTTGCTTGGATACTTGTTAAACAGTCTGAAAACATTGTTCTCCTCACAAAAAGAATAACTCTGACATTTAAGGTCATAGGGCTTTATAGCACAGTCATTGTAAGCTAATAAAATGTTTTATTTTTTGAGATAGGACTGTATTTTCAGTTTGACAGGTTTTGCAATTTCACAAAGGTTATAGTTACTATATATAACTTTCACATACAAGGCTTAACAGGATACAAATACATTCATGGGGTGACCTTAACCCAGGTAAGGTTATACTTAATTTCCTGGCCTAATTTTACACCCACAGTGATCTAAACTGCCAAGTGGCTGCTATTTTTATTTGCCAGGCTAAACAGTCTCTGAACAGATCACCAGCCTGTCCCACACTTGAGGTAAAGGTGTCCTCACCATGATCCACTAAGTCTTTAATCTTCTCCTGAGCATGTAGTATTACCCTTGAGACCTCTGTTGTCAATACCACAACTAGGTTACAAATGCATTTGTAAAATGGTGGACACAAATCAATAATATTGTAATGGTACTCGGTGTGAGGTAAACAAAGCAGCTTACATTTAACTGAGAATTTAAGGGCTATAGAAAAGATCAACCAGTCAACCAGACTGTTAATGCAATATCCAAGAGGGGTATGTGTGGTGAGGGGAGTTAATAATTAAAGAGGGAGAGAAAGGAAAAAAGGAAGAAAGAATAAGGAGAAATGCTTTTATAAAAGAGTGCCTCTAGTTGAGCAGTGACTGGCTGAGTGGATATGCAGAAACGTCTCCACCCAGCATCAACACACCCACGCTGACTGCTGAGTAGAATGGACAACCACAAGGGGAAATCCTGACTTTTAAATAATGTTGTTTTCACTAGCATGACTTAGTGAGGAAATAATACAAAAACCACGTAAAAGGTTGATTTTTTTGCAAAATACAGGAATGTGTCGCCATCTTGTGGCCATATTTAAAAGTAAAATGCTGCATTTGAGAATTATGAGTTTGTTATGAATCCCCTCTGTAGATATCAAGTTGTTTGGCTCAGCTTCTATTACATACAATAGGATGCAATGCATCTTTTAATCTAAAATTATCACTTTTCTATTTTTGCAAGATATCTGCTCGTCAGAAAAAGCTGAAATAAATGTAATGCTACTGTACCTGGATAGACCAGTGGAGATGTCCAGCTCAGTCCTCATCTTCTCTTCCTGGTTGATGCCACCCTGTGGATGAAGCTCCTCAAGAACTTGTTCTGCCTCAAGAAAAGAGGATTGTGCCTCCTCGAGAGTTGAAAAGAGTCAAGGAATTATTTCGTTTTATCCTGATATGATACTTCAGTCAATCGCATACATTATTGTAAAACCCTTCAGGGCAAGGATATTTGACTGTCAGCAGTGAAGCGCCTCCCTGAATGAGGTGTATGTTCAGAAGACACAGGAGAACCTCATGCTTTTCACCTCTGCCAGAGGAGATGGAGGAGCAGAAAGGAAGCAGATCTCTGGCCAGGGCCGAGTGCTCCTGGGCCTGCAGTCCCCAGCCTGAGGGAACAAAGCAACCATAAGGGATTGTAAATTGAACAGCATGCAAACTCTAAATCTCAACATTATCCACAATTAGCTAACATTAGATGGTCATATGAAACATGACTCATGTTTTACCCAACTCAATATAAAGCATGGGCATCTAAATAGATTCATAAGTCTGGTGTGATGTGTGTCATCTTGAAAAATGGTCTCCTATTTTGCCTTTTCAACCCAATATGTGTGGCACCTGTCTAAGGTAATATAGCAGGCGTATCTGCTGTTGTGTATCTGTATTAAGTGACAACTCTTTGAAAATCAATTTCATAATAAAACGTTAAATGTAGGCCTACTAACAGTATTAAAATTACCGTTGAATTGGAAATATGCTTGAGCCAGTCTGGCATGGGCCTGGGCTAGTTTCAGATGTCCATCCCCATAAACCAGCCTAGTCAAAGCCACACAACGCACCAGGTCCTGTATGCAAGCATCAAACTGAACAGATACAGTAAAACAACTGTTAATAAGCATCAAATCACTTCAATCACTGCATTTGAAACTATTTAAAAATATTTCTCTGTATCAAACATATTTTCAATTTTCAATCAAATCAATTTAAAAGTCAAGCTCAATATCAATATCAATATCAACTGTGAGTGCCGGTTGATGCATACGAGTATCCTGTTTTGTTGTTGTTTTGTTTCCCAGTTACATGTTGCCCCTAAACATCTTAATTATGTTAACTGCAAGTCCTTATCCTGGTTTTAAAAAACGTGAAACTCTGATAGAAACCAAGATGCTGCTAAATGTTTACATCTTAACCACCTTTCTGTTCATTCTCTACTGATAAATAAAATAATGCCTCATACACACTTGCACATACTGTATTTGGCCAGAAACACCTGGATACTTGTATTGTTGAATTGTTGTTGAATAATCAGGTTTCCCTTTGAAGAATGCCGGTGTGTGGTATAATTGACCCATTACTGTACTGTACCCACCTCTTGGTTGTCTTCACAGGCCTGAGCTCGTCTGTTGAAGTGTTTGAGCTTTTCTTCAGGTGCCATCATAATAAATTCCTTCTTAGCATATCCTGTTTGTGATGCGTTCAACACATCTGAGTAACAGGAAGGAGATGCATTCACCCCCCTGCTGGTGCTTCCCATGCTTTCAGGGGATCTACAAGTTTGGTCAGGTACAAATACAATACATTATTCAAAAGATGGACGAAAATGTGTGGGACACCGATGTGTATGGAATGAAAGCGGGGTCATGAAGCCCACAAAGTAACCCTCAACTAATTCATTCAGAAAAGCCTTACTGTTTTGGACTTGTTTGGAAGTAAGAAGCTAACGTTAGCCTACCATCAACATTTACCAGTGGTCATCAACAGAAGCACAAACGTTAGCTTAGCTAAGAAGAGATCACTTACTCAGCTGGAGACTCGAAGGAGTTGGGTCTTGTTTTTGTCATTGCGTTATAATCAGCCATATTTCACAACAATCGACGTAACGTTACCGCGCCATCAGCCGTTTGTGTATTTTCCGGTTTTTTGTTTCCTTGGTTACACTCTCTTTATACATCCATGGCTACATCGGCTAGCGTCAGTAGCGTGATTTACTGCAGCTGCTCTGCCACTTTAAATGTTTCATTATCATAGCATTAAAATGGTTGTGGCTAAAATAACCGAAAACACAATTTAAACCTACCTTACCTTACACTATGGTGCCTAAAAAGCAACTCTAAAAACATGTCACTAACACACAACAGACTGTGCTGAAGTGCCCGAGCACATTGAGGAAGTGGGGTGCGTTCAATAACCCTGCTCAACAATATAGTGATCTTTACGGTATGATACAAAATTATGACAAGAGTACTTAAACCGAGCTTGTTTCTGCTCGTGTTTAGCCCAGTGGTGTTTTAACTATTTATAATGCACAGAGGGGGGAAAAAAAAAAAGTGGCAATGACATTTTAACTTGTAAAAAAAGAATAGACGAATGAATTAAGTCAGAGTTGTTTTCATCTCATTAAGAGTGTTGTACAATTAATGGGAGAATCTTAAAATGTTTAGAACATATGTACATTGCAGTGTGATGCTACCTCCACCAGATGTCAGTATAGTTACACAATAGTAGTCGTCCCATATATGCTATAGATTTACAGTTGTGCTAGAGGGAGTATTACAATATTGTTGTGCTCTTCTAAGAAGTGTTGGCTTGGACTTGGCCTCTCCTAAAGGCATGCTCACTTCAAAGTGTTAAACTGGAAATATGTAAACCCCAGGGCCAATATTCTTTTATTAGTTTTATCCAAACTGCATCCTCAGCATTTATCAGATTACTTTTTGATGTTTTCTCAGTCTTCTGAAGATCTTGCTTATTTTTAGCTATCTGTAATTTTGTCATCTACACATGCCTATAGACTTACTAATAGTGAAACGTCTTAACAAGTATTTTATGATGTGATCAAAAGCATCATCATGAATAGAAGAAAGACTTGCAGCGCAGTGAATCAGAATATATAGAAACTAGTATCTGTGTCGTTATTGGTTAATATACTGCATAGAATTGACAATGTTAACAATGACCTTAAAGTAGTTGAAAGTCAGTTGCTAATAGCTCATTAGTTTTAATGGGTGGGTGCTAAATGGAGTGAAGTCACAGTAGTGCGCCCGGTTGAGGGGTGCCACTCAGGCAAATAATAAACAATAAACTTGAAAGATGTTCCTCTATGGTTTTATAACCTTTTGTAAAACAGCACAATTTCCTACATTAAAACAAAAATATTTGTGCTACTCTGAACACAGCCAGAGATAAAAAACATAATGTTATTTGCTAACAGGATATCCTTTGTCCAAATCCCCTGCAAATAAAACAGATTAAGAATTCTACAGAACACAATCCTTTCTCTTCTTTTTATTTATTTTATAACAAGCAGTTTAAAATGTATTTCAGTGCTGTACCATGATCCTCCATTTAATAATGAGAATCCAATTTTGTAGGAGTAGATTTAAATTGCTAGTGTTGAGGGGGATCAAGCACTGTAAGGTTTTTCCAGAATTGAAACAAATATATCTTTAAAAATACAAATAAAGAATTCCTATGTTTCACATAATTCTGCACTTTCATAGACATACTACATACCGATAGCAAGAAGAGGAAATGTACATTTCCTTGTGAAAATATCCTTTCTCACATCAGTGCCCAAAACCCATGCCAAGTAAACACGAAGTAAGGTCTCTGTGGCTGCTTTGAGAAATTGGTCTCTGGAGAGAGTTTTTTAGGTTAATTTATTCTTTATCGGGCTGGCAGTGTGTGTACTGTCACCACTTTTAAACTCAGGGCAGGGCACATTTTGTGTGCAAGACTGCCTAAGATAACTTCTTATGGCTCCTTGGGATGGCTGCTGCCGGTTGATTCTGGCAGGCCATGAGACAACCCGTTTATTTGTTTGTTTGTCCCGTGAGTTTCTGGCTGGCCGTTCAGGGCTCTGTTTGGCCCCAGTCCCTGTTGGGCTTCTATTCCTGAAGCCCAAGTGGCTCTTAATGAAGCTGGTAGGGTTGGCATGGTCCCTCAGCAAACCCAGGCCTGATCAGACCCTTCTTCTTCTGCCTTGGCAGCCACACTCCATTTGCTCCCTCTGGCTTCCTAATTTAGTAACGGTGGGTAAAAATATGCGCTAACGAACAAGGTCTGGTATGTCAGGCTGGCGTCCAGAGAAGAGGGAGAGAGGGGAGGGGGTGAGGAGACGAGGATGCGTGTGTGTGTGCTGTTTTCACAGCAGGCACCCAGTGACAGGGGTATAGTCACTCAGACCTCTCTGACATCTGTGTGTTTGCGAATATGTGTAGACATTCAAGGGAGTGTGTGGGGGTGGACGATGAGAGGTGGAGGGTGAGCACTTAACATTTTCTAACTCTTGCCAAACTCTGTTCAAACACCTCTAATCATTCTTCTGTTTTATTCCAACCAATGAGGCAGCGAGGTAAATGCTATAAAGTGCAAATGGACACATTTTCATGAGTCACATTTTCAGTGAAAGTTAAAATCGAATGGCCTCCCGCACACTGTCTGTGAGTCTGGCATAAGGAGGCTAGTATCTGTAAGTGACATGCTTTTAGAGTTGTATTCTAGGCACCATAGCGTATCACGGAAGGTGGTGTTTGTGGTTATATTTAGCCTAACTGTTAAATCGTCTCAATGAAACATTTAAGTGGAAGAGCAGCAGCAGTTGGTCAGGCTAGCATACGCAGTTTTCCAATATCCCCTCCATAGACCAGCACACATTTTTTTAAATAACTTTTGGATTGATGTGTTGTTTCATTATTTAGACATTGCATTATGTACATTACAATTGTGTTTATACAGACCCATAAACTGAGCAATAATTCAAATCTTTTGTTGTTTTGGGAGTGATTTTTGGCTGGTGTATATCCTCCAACAATATAACATGCTTTTTCTTTTCAACTCTTTTTAATTATTCAGGATGACCCATCCAATGTATGAGCACTGCACCAAATGCTTTCTGGATAAGAGCTTCAGAGAATCCAGATCATATTCCAGGTATTATTAAAAAAACTATGAAACCTATAAACTGTAACCCCTCTGTGAACATTTTGGCTTTTATGCATATGGTTTGAACCTGATGTATTGCTCGCGTCTTCAAGGGGATTCTGGAACTGAAGGGCAACCCTTTTACATGCGAGCCACAGAGCTTCCTGGTTCAACTCTGTATACTGTAGGTTTAGCTACAAATCATGCAGGCAGCGGAAGAAAAACATGTTTTTAATGTATGTTTACCCTTTAGACCTCAGACTTCCAAAGTTCTCCATTTTCCATGGACCTGCTCCAACAAACATCAACAGTGAATAACTTTATTGAGGCCATTTCCGTGAAAAGATACAGAAGTGGTGCCAGTGAATTTAGTTGTTATCATACAATGGCTCTAAAAATGTTATTTAGAAAAAAATAGTTTTCTTACTAAGATGATAGGCCTGCCTAGAAATGATAAAGTGTTTGCTTTAAAAAAAATCTTTTTAATAATATTATCTTAATAAGTGTTTTTATTTATGGTTTTATATCTTAAAGCACCCACTTCCAAGGCCTGTACTTGCAATTACTCCATTTTCATCTGTCAGGACACTCGACCATAGAATTCTGCCCTCAAGCACTTTAACACTTGCCCTTCCTGTTCACAGTTTAAGAGGCTCATGGCAACACTGTCAACTTCGCTTGTAAACCAAAGGCTTTAGATGAAAACAGAAAACCTCCTTGTCTGTTGCAAGGCAGTAAGAGAAGCTTTAAAAAAACTGAATAACAGCCATGTACTCTTACTGTTTCTTTACATCAACTAATCAAACAAGTAATAATCACATGATTAATTACAAAAACTGTGTCTGGCATCGAGTTGCACAGAGACTTCAGGTGAATTCCCTGAACTTTTGCCAAAACAGTGTGGTCACAGACAGGCTGGGTAACAGACCACACTTTCGACATGCAGCTTGATTCCGCCACCAGTTTATACATCGGCCTTACCTGATAAGAAATTAAAAGATATGTACAACACAATTTACATTTTCATTTTTTTATCTAATAGCCATGCATCATTATGTACATTATATAATTCATATTGTTTCAGATTGATAGGAGTCTTAATAAGTTAATAGAGCATATCATACAGTTGTAAAACTATCTCCATGGAGCTATTTTAGCAATTATAGAGAGACCATTTGTGTGTTTGATTGGGAAAATATAGTCCACTTAGTTGAAGGCTAACAAGGCAATTGAGACTAGATATTATTACTTCTTAATGAACAACTCTACCGAGCTAAATGCTTTACGTGTTAATACAGGACTGTTCCAGTGTTGCATAACAGGAAAACAGTTTAATGATGCTCTTCTCCAATAAACAAACTAACTCTGCCCTTTTTGGAGTGGTTTTAGCTTGACAAATATGTCACAGTTATTTGTTGAAACCACGAAGTAGCATCTACCTTTTTATACAGCTGTCCCCACTTCCTGTGCTAGTTAACCCACACACACCCACCCCCTAGCAATGAACACCAGTCATGCTGAGTAGGAACAGAAAGAGTAGAATATTCTATGTTAAACATTTTTATAGTCTCTAAGATAAATACAAAAAATAGCTATTTATCCCAGCTACTGGAGCTGTTCTGGAGTTAATACCTGTATGGTGCTCTGTAATACAGTGCATATATTTGCAAATCGAATCCCACATTTTGTGAGAATTGGCACAATTAAAGCTTAGTTGCACAAGTTGTTAACCACTTTAACAGTTGTAAGAGTTGTTCTATCCTGAATCGCAGAGAATATGCCAATGTCTTCACAGCTGCTGCACTTCAGATAAAGCATGTTATTCCCACATCGAATAAGAAATGTGTTTCAGTAGCGTAATCAATGTATTTGTGCAAGTAATGCCGCTGTAAAGAAGTAGAAACAAAGCTAGGCACTTAAGCCAGGCCCCCCTTCCTTTGAACTGACTGAAGCTGTCCACAGCAGAGACATGATAGCACCGTGCTATACGATAAGCTCTCTTTCCATGCAGCAGCATCCTTCCATGCCAGCGCTTTGTTTAATAGTTGCGTATTCAAATGTGAATTGTTCTCTGCTATGGCAAAGACTAAGAATGGATAAACTTGTGTTTATCCTTACCCAAACCGTGGCCTGATTTGAAGCATATGCAGAAAACAAATCTACTATTGTTTCACCACTAAATCTTCTTCTCTCCTTTCTATTCAATGTCAAAATCAAAGATTACTGAAAGCTTTGGAGGTGATATTGCCATTCTTTGTTAAGACA